AGATAGATAGATAGATAGATGGATTATATCTATAAGTATATGCCTGTACTTATATGCATGCATACAGCCACAGAAACACACATGCCTCCACGGCTGCATGCATACATACGTGTAATACAGACATTGCTGCCTGCGAGCTAACAGCCCTGCAGGCGAAGTAGATTCGTGAATGCATGTATGTGTATACATAGATATATCTATATATATATATACACATGCATTCATCTATTTATATATATATATAAGTCTCTATATCTAGACACACATATAGAGTGTGTCTAGGGCTCTATAGGGCTCACAGGGTTTGGGGCTTATAGGGTTTAGGGTTTAGGGGTTTTAAGGGTTTTAGGGGTTCAGGGTTATATATATATATATACGTGTGTATGTCTCCGTGTCTGTCTGTCTGTCTGTCTGTCTGTATGTATATGTATGTATATACATATAGAGTATAGTATAGGCTGTGTAGAGGGCAGAAGGATGAGGGCTAGAGGGTTGAGAGGTTTTAGGGTTTAGAGGGTTTAGGTTGCATGTCTTTCGAGTTCGGCTTCTGTGCATGGACAGAAGTGAAAAGGCAGTTGCAGTTCCTGGGGGCGGTGTCATCACCTCAGAGACTCTATATATGGTTCGCTGCAAGTGCTTGTGTGCATCGTCACAAGAGAGAAGGCAGTGACGATCCCGGGGCAAGGCGACGGTGTGATCGCCTGAGCTACTCTGGTTCGGTGCAAGGGCATCTGTGCATTGACACAAGACATGAGGCACTGGTGCTGCCGAAGCATGCCCGCGCCGTGATCGCCTCAGGTAGTCTGCTTCGCTGCAAGTGTTTTTTGGGTGCGGTTCGGATGCACGAGGGCTCTGGCCAGATGGTGGCCCGGGACTCTGACTGCTGTGGGCATGCAAGACTCGTCTCGAAGGGCCTGGGGCTCGCGAGCAGAGTCTGAGCATTGCTGCTCAGGTCAAGGCTCCGTGGGCGGCGGGGGGCAAGGCTGCGGGGATGCAGCTGACGGGCTTCCTCGATGCCCATGGGCAGTGGTGGCCTCCGGGAGCCGGGAGGTTGGGTCCAGTGCCTCGTTCGTTGTTTCCCTTGATTGAGCTGCGGTTTCTGCTTCAGGACCCGGGCTCGCACCAGGGCGGGGGCGGCCGTGCAGGCTCAGCGGGTCGTCCCGCGAGCCCTGGAGCTCGCCGAAAGCACGGTCGCATCTGTGCGGGAGCAGGCCTGGTTTTTGTCACTTTGTGGCCCTCACATGCATTTGTGTCCTGCCTCCAGACACAGCTTCAGCGAGAGTTCCTCCAATGGATGCGAGATCGCTGAGGCAAGGCTGCAAACCCACCCCATATCGATCTATATAAATGGGGTGGGCCGGGCGGGGCCCCCAATATCGATCTATATGGGCGGGGTGGGCCGGGCGGGACCCCCAATATAGATCTATATGGGCGGGGTTGCCCGGGCGGCCGGGCCAATATCGATCTATAAAACCGGGTTGGGCCGGGTGGCCCCCCCAAAACCCGACGGGGTGGGCCGGGAGGGGGGGCCGATATCGATCTATAAAATGTGGGTTGCCGGGGCGGCTGCCTGAGGAAGGGGTGGGTGGGCTGCCGGTGAGACCACTTCTGCATGTCACTGCTG